AGTTGTTGATGTTTATATATAATCGGTCAAAACATGACACATAACCAGCTTTTTCTCTCGTGGTTAAATCCTTCCGAAATGTAAAGAAAGATGCCTCACATATTAAAAAAAAACACAGTAATCATGTCCTCTTAATGCTGTCTAATCGATTCAGCAGAGAGAGAAAAAAGACATCATGAATATTTCACAGAGCACTCTTCATCACCTGACCAGCTCTCAGGAGCACCTGCTGGGTATGTTGACAACTCACGGCGCATGCGCGGTACACGCAGCTGTCCTGAAACCTGCGATGAAACTTTTTTTTCTTCCAGGAATGGCGTTGCAGAGAGGAACTCCAAAACAAACAACAAACGTGGACAAAACGGCAAAAGAGTGCGTGCTATTTTTAGCCTTTCCAACCCGTGACGTCATGGTGAGACATTTTTTGACTTCTGCATCATGAGAATAAGTTGTTGTCGTTGGCTTACATCTTCTCCTCCTGCACAGGTGAGCAGCATCAACCTTCAGCTAACTGTTGCTAACTTTGCTCACTATTTTAAAAATAGAGAAATAACGTAAATATGAATTTAAACGGAAAAAGTAAGTTAAGGGGTTTAACACCAGCCTTATAATATAAGTTTATCTTGTATTATCTCAGCGTTTAGGAACAACCATCTCTGCTATCTGTATGCTCCTTTATAGACATTAAGCATCTCAAACTATAGATTATTGGTAATGCATAGTTTTTCAGATATGTTTTATAAGTACATGTGAGTGTACAAAATAGAGTAACTCTTTATTGAATTTCATTTAAGGCCCTTCAAAATAAAATGGGACAATAAAAACTGTTAGCATATTGCACAAAAACTTTAAATATCCTTTATTGTGATTCATTAAACCAAATAACATTATAAACAAATCAACCTAAGAGTGTTATTTATTTAGTTATTTACACTATTTAAAAACACAGGGACGATTTGAATTGAATTGAATTTATTTATTTTAATAGGGACAATGCAATTTAACATAATTTCAACACAAAGCATGAAACTGATGTGCTGCATAAAGAGTATATAGCTGTTGCTAATTTCCAACTTGTGTCCCCGGTTGGGCCTTTGTGTAAACAAACAGATTAAAATGTACAACATTTGGTTGCATAAAACTCCATAACACTATACGATGCACATTCATAACATTTCTGTATCGTGCCAGATTAGCGTCATGTCTTATTTTTAACTGTAGTCCCTGGGCAGGTGAGTGACAACAATAGACACACAGGGTACTTTCTTCTTAAATAAGTCTCAGAGCTCCTCTTAACATGTGTGTGAAGTCTCTTGTTCTAAATCCACTCTGATCCTGTATTTGATCATGTCTATAAACCCCTCTATTTCAGCCCTGCTCAGAACAGGCTGTTTCTGTGTCTGTACCTTTAAATATGTAAATGAGCTGTGTCTGACCACACCCCCTCTCTGGAAGGGTTTGGGTGGCTCAGGCTTTATCGCTCCATGCCCTATTGTTTACGATGTCTTCAAGCCGGTGATGGTTTCTAATAATTGACAGCAGACTGTCCCACATGTGAGCTGCTCTCAGTGAAGAAGATAAAGACTGTATCAACAACTTTACAACACCCGAGACTCATAAATTGAAGCAGGCTACTTTTAATAATGTGAAGATAACCTCTCCATTGCATCACTAATCAAATAATGCTGGTGAGACAGATCATACATTTACATACATGATGAGTCATTTCTAAACAAATGCATGGAAGCATCAGCTCTGCTAACTCCATCGGCCCTCCGTTACAAAGTTACTAATAATAACTTTATTTAAAATCACATTTAGCTTTTCAGACACTCCACACATTCAGGACAAACAGAGAGAAGTCAAAAAGGCAGGAACAAAAAACAAACACCTGTGCCTGTCGCCGACTTGTATGGAGAAAAAAAAATCTTTTTTTTATTCTTTCTTTTTTTACACTACAACAAAAAGAGAAAGATAAGATTATAAGAAGACAGCATAACGTCACAGGGAATATAAAGATAAAACCATTATTAGAAGCATTAAAGCCCACGAGGAATAGGACGTTAAAAGAACAAATAAAGAACAGTTAAAGAAGAAGATGACGTCTTTATGTCTGTAACTGAGTTTTTAAAAGAGATTTAAAGAGACGTCACTGATTGTGCATGCCTTACCTCCTCAGGCAGATCGTTCTTAAGCCGAGGGGCAGTGTGGCATCAAATAGTTAATGATCCGTTTTTTTTTTTTTTTCTTTTTTTAAAGATTTATTTTTGGGCTTTTTGTGCTCTAATGGAGACACAGGACAGTGGATAGAGTCAGAAATCAGGGAGAGAGAGAGAGGGGTATGACATGCGGGAGTGAGTACACCGGTCACAAAAGCAAAGCATTTGTATTTTTTGGAAACATTGGCTCGGGTTGAAAAGTTTTCTTTGTGTCTACAGATGAAGATCTGTCTTGAAAAAAGTTTTAAATATTTCTGTTTGTGTGAGCTCTCCAGTGTTTCAGTGAGGAATGAGCAAACATATATATAGATAAACATCTTCTCTTTAAATTGAACTTCTTTGTTTCTTCCCCATCTCAAACCCTTTTATCTGTCACTTCCAAATTCTGTGTTTCCCTGTCAACTTATCTACCCCCCTCCCTGTCACTCTGTATTATTCATCAAAAAGTCTCAGAAATACTTCTTTGGGTCACTGAGGCTGAATCTTAAGTAAACTTGCCAAACTTTTTGGATTGACTGCCCGAAGCTTGGTGTCATGTTCTTCAGATGTCTGAGACGCTGAAGAACTCTCACTTGTGTGCATGAGGTTGCATATGTTAGATATGTATAATTAATGAGTACAGTGTTGGAGACTAGTAGAAACGCTGACTGTATAGGTCACAGCTGAGCTTTGATCCTGTCTGGATGGATGCATGAATACTTACATCTACATTTATTTATCTTTTTAGAGCCAACGATAAATTAGTGTTGGCAGCTTTGAAATCACAACTATGCATTTCTTTGTGTTTAAATCTCTTTGTCTTACATTCCCTGTTTCCTTCCTTCTCTTTTGATTCATGATGCTCTGGATCAACCTTGTTCTCCCTTAATAAACTAAAACACTGAAGCACGTGCAATGTAAAAAAACTCTCAATGATAAAGATGAACAGCAGCTTAAGGAAACTATTGCGTATTAGCCTAAGGTGGTGGTTCTCAACTGGTCGAGCCTCAGGACCCACAGACTACTCCTTACTGAATAAATCGCGACCCAAATTTCTTATATTTTTTCATTCAAACAGAAAAATTGTGCAGTTTGGACCTCAAACGGTACAAAGCATGATAGAACAAAGAAACTGAATGAAAGAAACTTTTTTTTTTATTTCTGCACTGGTTATGCAAATTTTCTTGGTATGTTTCATGGCGGACCTCCCTTTAACCCATTGTGAGTTTGAGAAGACTTCAAGTTCCCTCCAGTGGCCTTTTTTGTTCTAAGATTTCCACTACACCCATGATGACCCTCCCATCCCATTAATTTACCTCATTTAATGTTATTCTATACATAAAACATAATGCAGCTCATTACTTCCAAATTAACCCCACTCTGTATAAAAAAGAGACGATACCTAAAATACAAGTCACTGGCAGACATTGAAGGTTTTCTGCATTCTTTGCTAAAATAAAACTCCTCATGAGCTCTGCATGCTGAGAGCAGAAGGTGCTTACTGATGAGAAAGTGATACGGCATAGCGATGTGGTGAGTCACTCTGCTGCGCCGAGGCTTTAGCCTTTCCCTCGCTGTACTTTTTGCAGAATTAACTATAATATGTCAAGGCCTGGTATTGCATTTCCTCGATGTAAGCAGCATTGAAAGGGAAGCTGTTATGGACCGTTGCACCCTGGCTTTAGACGGAGAATGACAAGTGATGCTGAAGGACCGTGCAGCTACTGGAGAAGCTCATTTTCAAGACGTGCAGCTTCATTTACATGTTTTTTTTTGTTCTTTAATTTACAGATTTATTCAATGGTCCAACTGGATGTTAAGAAATTTCTGAAAACATCTGATTGATTGTGAATCATATTCATGGCTCAAGGCAGCTACATCCTGAGAAATGTGTCAGGTAACTTTCTTTTATACACTTTTCCAAGAACTAAAATATCGTTTTAACTTGATTTGAATTCTCTAGCTCGTCCAGTCGTCTATGAGTGCAAAAAAACATGTTAAGAATTTTGTTTTTGAGGGTATTAATGAAACTTGAAGCTAAGAGTAAGTGCAAAAAAACAGAATAAGTACACATGTACTATTGCTAAATTACTCAACTAAATGATGGAAGTGCTTTAGAAATAAAAAAAAAAAATGGATTCTGTTACTGTTGTTGTTTTTTCACCCGCTCAAATACTTGGAGGATGTCTGTGGTTGGGAGAACCTGCCAAGACTATGGTCAGGCATTTAGAGGGAAAGTTGCAGAGTAATTATAGAGTGGGTTCAGTCTATGTAGAGAGACGTACCATTTGGGGAGAAGTGACTACTGAAAACAGACTGGTACATCCTCTGTCCCTCCTCCTCTTGTGAGACGAGCTCAGAGAGTTTATAGTCGAAAAAGATTTGGAGCTGACAGAAGAAATGCTCTAGACTTGAATAGAAACGGTTGCTGATGAGCGTATGATACGAAGGTAAGGAAAGATTAAATAAACTGTAAGGGCAGAGGGAATAGCATAAAGCGGTTTGAAGAGATTTGTAAGCATGTCTTGGTTTTTGCAAATCAGTATTTTTGATCAAAGTCAATATTAAAATTGATTTTAGACTCAAATTTAATGTATTGAATGATACCATTTGCTGATGTTTATTCCATCCATTAATGGAGAATATAGTGCTGGACTTTATATTAACCATTTTTACAGCCCAGTGATTGAACTACTTTATATTTCTGCCAGGGTGATAATAAACTTTGCCTTTACCATTGTTGGTCAAACAGGACAAAGCACTGAAGAGTGTATACCAAACTACCTTGGGATCGACTACAGTTATCCGTCAGACGTGGACTACCTAAAGTGTGCTGGCAGTTTCCAAAACAGCATCACCATTAAGCGTTTAAGCCTTAAGAGGAGGCCCAGAGTGGCCGTCAACAATGTGGAAAAGACACAGAGTGGCATCTCTCCGAGCCAGTGGCATTCTGCAGAATCATTGTCGTCATCCAGCAGCGATGATACCAGAATGCTGGGAATGTCGGCTACAACCAGGGGTCGACCTCCTCTTCCTCCACCACATGGATCCTCTTTGGATTACAGACCCTCAAGGAACGAAGGACAGGTATCTTCTCAGATACTTACTGAGTCAAAGCCTCAGCCTGCTGCGAGATCTCTTCATTTACAAAGACAAAGCCCAGTGCTGGAAAAGACCATCATGGAAACCGATAATGCCTTGGATCAGGAGCTGCCGGGCCGGTCTCCACCTCAGCCATATCCTCGTCGAAGACTGGCCAGCTTTGGAGGAGTGAGCTCACCTGGGTCTCTTTCCCCCTTCACTGGCCTGGGTGCATATAATCATAACAACAACGGTAACAAGCCTACTGGCACAGGAAGTGATATGCAGATCCACCTTAGCTCGTCCATGAGTGGTAGAGGCAGCACAGGATGCCTCAGGATAAGCCCACAGAGCTCTGGTAGAAGCACCCCGGTCACAAGTCTCGTCGGCCAAACGCACCTGCAGCTTGTCCGAGACCAGATGGTGGTAGCTCTGCAGAGGCTGAAAGAGCTGGAGGAACAGGTGAAAATCATTCCCATCCTGCAGGTGAAAATATCAGTCCTTCAGGAAGAAAAGAGGCTTCTGGTCTCTCAGCTCAAGAGTGATAATGATGAGGACATGAGCGAAGACATCTGGAAAAGAGCATATAGCATGGAAAGATCAGATACTGACAACAAGTTGATTACAGAGAAAAGGCTGGACGGAAAAGCAGAAAGTGTCTGCACAGACTTCAGGGAGTCCAGGCAACTGACCAAAGAGATGCAGGCATTAGAAAAAAACATCAAGGGTGGACATTTGCAAGCAGGGCATCGAATTGGCCATAGGCCTGTCCAGGACAGCGCTATCAAGTCAGTCGCAGTCGGCCCTGATAAGATAGATTTCACTTTGTCAAAGGAAAACAAATATGTACACACTGATCAGGTGGAAATGAGGTCCATTGGAACAGAAGTTTCTGAAGTTAATCTTGGAATTTACACAGAACAGGAAGAAGAGCCCGACTCCCAACAACTGGTTATTGGCTCCTTGCAGGAGAGGATTTGTCTCTTGGAAGCAGAGTTGGAAGAATCAGCTCTCCAGTCGGAGATGAGCCGTCTGAAACTGGAGCTTCTGGCTGCAGGAGCTAGGAACAGAGTGGATAAAGCCTCATTAGCCAGGCCTTCCACTGTGAGCACAGGCACTGAGGCAAGGCCCGACACTACTAGCCAGGGAGTGGGTAATCACACAGAGGTCCAAGATGCCAGCACAGGGGAGGCAACAGAGGTAAAAACTGTGGGAGTATCTTGTTGTGGGCCTGCACTAAAGAATGTTTGCACAGGACCCGATGTACCCATGAGCAACTGGGAGGTAAGGGAGCGAGTTGAGACTATGGAGAAAGGCGTTGGGATCCAAGTTTTTACAAACACTCAAGGAGTTGGGATGGAGATCAGATTTTGTGATGCAGAAACAAACACAGAGGTGCCAGTAGAGAATCTGTGGTCCGAGAAGAGACAGATGAAGTATCGTTCAGTGGCTTGTGGGGACTGTTCAGTCGACGTGATCATCTGCGAGGCTAAGGAAGTCGTTTCCCAAGGTATTGCCACAGATAAAGTCAGGGGAGTGGATCTGGGAATCATGGCATCACCTCAGACAACTTCTCAGCGTACCAACACCGTATCCAGTTCAGTGTCTCGCTTCACCAACACCAGACATGCCTTCAACGCAGACTCCAGCACTAATACTGTCCTGAGTACCCAAGACAAGCACACCAATACCACTCAGACTTTAACTAGGACAGTGTCCGTTGGCAACAGGGTCAAAGATATCAAAAGGAATCCAGAGATGCGCACAATTGGTGTAGGAACTGCAAATCTGCCAGAAGGTGCCTGCAAGCAAACACCAGGGACAGTCACCAAGGTTACCAGAGACACTGGTGTTGGATTAGCAAACATTAATGATAATTTCCTTGTTGGGCTGAAAACAAGAAACATGGCTTCTGGACCATCCCATCTACCTGACCCCATCAAGACGAGGAGCGTCGGTGTAGGGGAGGGGAGGATACGAGAGTTTTCAGTTTCATCAAGTAAACTTGATCAGATGTCTTCTCAGCCCAAGTGGGAACCAGAGCTGAACCATTACATTGAGAAGATGCAGTGGCTCCTCAGGGAGCACGGAGACCTCCTCACAGAAGACTACACTCCGCGGACTGAAGGGTTGGTCCAGCAGCATTGTAGCCAAGAAAGCACAAGTTCCAAGCTGCCCTGCGTTAACAAAACTGCAGCAAAAGGTGGACCAGGAGTCCATACTTTACATGATCAGCCATCAGGTAATTACTTTCATCTTTTAAAAAGAGAGTTTTCCAAGAACTTTTAAAAGTCTGATGTAACATTGTTGGCTCTTGAAAAATGGCTGTGGATATAATATTCAAGTTTCTCATAATGGACTTAAGAGGAATTATTTTGTGCCTTTGTACCTAATAAAGGTAGTTTAGTTTTTGTTCTTATCTGAGTGGTTGCCCCAGTTAAAAGAAGAAATTATAAGCACCTTACCACTGTGGGGCGGGGCGAATGTGTCTCAGTTAGTCGTCGTCTCTTAACCGGAAGACTGAGGGTTTGATCCCCAGCTCCTCCAGCTACACTTATCCCAGAATTGCTCCCGCTGCTTTGGCAGCAGCGAATGAAATGTGTATGAATGGGTTAGTTATTCTGATGGTCACCTCACATAGCAGCCTCTGCCTCTGCCATCAGTCGTCAGAAGGCTGAATTTACCATTTATATATATATATATATATATATATATATATATAGTATTCTATATTTTGCATTTCCCTGAACAATCATCAGGACTTTGTATCAAACCATCCAATGAGAAAAGCCCCCACTGATCCAAGATTTTCTCAATAGTGCCACTATTCATAAAAAAGACTCCACTAGGTAATTTAAACGTTGAAATGTTCTTAAATAATGTTTGTTATGTCTGAAAGGTCATACTATAACCAGTCAAACCAGTCTTCTAATAACCTTTTTTTGTCACAGTCGACAGAGGCCGTGAATCTCAACTTACAGCCGAGTCTTCTGAGTGTGACAGAGCAAACAAAGAAATGTGCCAACAAGATGGACATGATGTCAAACGAATGATACAGATGTTAGAACAACAGGCCTCCTCAGCTCTGCAAGGTAAACACGCCTTTTGTCTGCCTGTGTCAGTACAATGGAACAACGTCTTTGTGAAAGCTGTCCAGTTTTAAAAATACTTCACTTGCAGACAACTCCCTATAGCCCTAGTTTAACTCGTGTGAGGTTAAGAGGAAGTGGCTGCCTTTGGCTTGGCAATTTGACTTTTGTTAGGGATACACTTGCAATGTTTGGAATGAATTCTGGTTTCGGGAAGGCGTCTTGTACCACATACCAGTTTGTGGCTGAGGGTCTAAAATTGAATAGCTGTGTAGGAGTAGCTGGTGTCAGAAAGAGTTTTCTCATGAGGAATGAAGCCTTCAGATTTGTAAGTAGGGGTGGTAATTGCAGGATTACTCACAATAAGACATGCAGTACACAGCCTTTGATAAAGATAATATCATGTTGCAAGGATTCTTCTATAATTGATATATAACAAGACAATCATATCAAGATATCTGATCAACTAAAAAATATAAGTAATCTGTAAGATATCTACTGAATGAAATGATAAAGTGACCTTACTATATGATCAGACATTAAGGAAACATGCTATGTTGAAGTGCTGGCTTCTCTGACAACAATGCAGCAGCCAGTATGTCCTCCTTTAAACTTTAGATTCTGCTCCTGAATGCTCTGGATTTGTTTGGACCAGAGAAGGTAGGCGCTTTTAAGGTGACCCTCCACACACGGCCGTTTTGGACACCCCTTAATTTGCCAGATATGAGAGCAGTTATCAGGTCAACGGGTGTTGCAGCGATGGAAGCGGTCAAGAGAAGTGGTTCAGATAGAAGTGATTGTACCCTAAAAAGCCTCTGCATGTTTCTAATAAGCTCCACGAGCAGAAACGTGCTCAAACTAGGATCAATATTGGAGATGCTTTTGAAAAATGGAGAGAGGTTAGAACACAGAAAGGTTTACAGATCCATGCAGAGCTGGATAAACACTGAAGCTTCAGTGTCCACCACATGGCAACCTGTGTTAGCATCGACTCTAGAGAGGAGGGGGCGGGGGGAGACAGCTGCCCATGTTCCACCCCTATTTGTAAGAATATGTGAAGCTTAATGAAAATATTCTCACTGAGTTCTGCCCAGGTTGACCAGGAACCGTGCAGACAACACAAAGCCTAATATATAATGACTACTTTATTTAAAGATTCAGATTCATGTTCTGCGTTGTTGTGTCTAGATAGGTCAACTACTGTTGGTGCGCCGCGACCTGTAAGGAAGAAGTCAAATGGAGATCAAGGCTGTAGCAGCAACAGGAAGAACATGAAGTTTATGAGGGTTACCACTGGGTAATAATCCAAATATGTAAATTCAGAAATATTGTACTGACTCTATATCTTAATATTCCTCTGTTTATTTACTCTTTTTCTGCCTTACAGATTGGATCCTGTGTCATCCTACGAGCTTTCTGCCAGCGAGCGGACCAACTCTGAGGAAGTTGAAAGGAGGGGAAACAGAAAATCAAAGGAAGCTTCTCAAGATGGAACGCCTTCAAAGAAGGGCAAAAGTGGCTCCAGCAGGGGATCAAAAGGGTCTACCAGACTGCAAATACAACAAAGGTAAAACTTTTCTCACATCCACTCCTGTGTATTTCCAGAAAAGTTCAGCACAGCCGGGGCTCTGAAATCCTCCTTTTTGCCTTTACAACAACGCCTTTTGTAAATCAACTTAAGAAACATACTGGCAAGCAGAAAACGTAAAGAAGCTGAAACATGAAAGATGATCACACCGGTTGCAAGATATAAACGTCATCACCGCCGTCCGCTCTCATTCAATTTCCCTGACTATGACCTTCTGCCTTCACACATAGAACAACTCTTTGTGGAAATGTTACTCCGGGGCTGGCTGGAAGAAGTCAGAATAAAGGCCGGGTGAACAGATTCTAAGTTTGCACTCACACATGCAGCCCATCTTTAAAATGTTTTTGAGTTTTGTGCATGTGTGAAAAGGGCTTTAGAGTCCAGAATCATTTGTAGAGTCAGATAAGGCGCCCATCTATCTTGATATGTTTACTGTGTGAGAGTTACATTACAGGGTCCAGCCTCGGGTCTGATCTCACTCTGTGTAACCTTCAGCGTTTGAATCGTTTCAGGTCCAAATTAAGCGAGAAGATGTTTTTCGCTTGTCAAGCCTTAAAGAAGCACCTGAGTGATGAGACGACTCTTTCCAGCACACAACTGGTATGTTTCTGTCCACTATATTCCTCTGAGAGCAAATTAAGGTCCCTGTGGTGTGTGAGAGTTTGTGTTTGTGTGTGTGTGCACTTTTAATGGTATGTCAGCGGCTGGGTGTGGAGAGATGGGCGACTTCAAGTGTGTCATTTTAGAAAGAAATTACTTTGGCGTTGGAGTCGCGATGCACAGGAATGTGTCGGCTCTGTAATTTTCTGTAATTTTGATTTTGTCTTCGGCTTGAAAAACAATGGTTTTCAAGCCGAAGAGACTCCTCGATTTCCTGATAAGTGGGGAAACGGAGAGAGAGGGTTCATGTATATAAAAGAAAGATTTCATAATGAAACCTGAAGCACCAACAAACCTCTAACTTTTATGGATTTATTGAAGACAGATTCAATAGGCTGAATCCATTATGATGTTGTTGTGCGCATTATAAAAAGCGAGCTGTTTTGGTGTTTTGTCCTCGTCTGTGTTCTTTTATCCACAGTCCTATAATTACAAAATGTTCCTATCAATTTCAAAGCAGTAGTCAAAATTGCTCTTGCATTGTGTAGGGCTTTTATTTGGTTGCATAAAAAAGGTATTGATGTTTTATTTCTTCTGTTTTTGGATTCTTTTTTTGCAGTATGATTGTCTACAAATCCTGCAGCAGGATTGGTTCTCCGTGTCCAGCAACAAGTCAGCCTCTCCCGACACTGTGGAGGATTACTTGTCAACGTTTCGGGTCATTGCACCCTCGGTGTTGCAGCACATATCCAACATGGCCGACGGCAACGGCAACACAGCTCTGCACTACAGTGTGTCTCACTCCAACTTTGGCATCGTCAAGAAACTGCTTGATGCAGGTACAGGAGAACTCGCAGGACGACTACCAGTAATTCATGTTTATGTTATGATGTTGTTTTGACTTTCAAAGCTTTTACGACAAAGCAACAAGCCTGAACTTTCCATGAGCACAAGACCTGTGTTTTCTGCTTTGTGTGTTTCCCAGCTAGAGAGATTTTCTTTGGCTTTTACAGTCGTGAAACATTCAAACATAATGATGATTCATAACTGCAAGCTAGCCCGGTCGTCCTGGGCATCATGTGTGAAGAACATAAAAATCTCATTCATCCAGGATGAATCATGAAATCTTTTTGTAAGTGGGTGTTGAGGACACAGTGCAGGTCTCGGAGAACGGGAAGCAACTGGAGCTAATTTAAGACTTTGGTTAAAGGAAGAATGTGCAACTTTTTTGATCCAGTAGGTGTCGCCCTTGAGCACCAGCAGTAAACCAAAACAAACTGCTGTTTGGCCACGCCTCCTCCGTACTGAAGCCTCCGCTCTCCTCCAGAGACACACCTCCAACACCTCTCTCAATACGTTCACATGAAGGAGTTATGAATTAGGCCGCACCATAGTTAAGCACCATTAAGCACAAGCGGCGGACAGAATTGTCCTTTGGCTCGAGCTGCAGCTCCAAGTGTTCTGCATTGTTGTGTTAGCATGCTAATGTTAGCGCTCTTAGCTTCATATTGCACATTCTTGACACAGAATGAGCGTGATCTAAAAACTCTTACTAACATCCAAATAATCAGTGAGTATGTTCTTCTTCTTCTCTCTAGTTCTTGACTAAAACAGCTTTTATACACAAGGGGAGGAGCCGGCCGTCCCGTCCATGTAAACACGGCTCTGACAACAACACAGCCAGCGGGACTCGAGCTTCTCCCTCATTGTAGACAGTCATGACTCAGAGACACATTTACACAGGACAGACTTTATGATTTATTTATGTGGAACATGTTGCACGTTCTGCCTTTAAATGTATTAATACAAACAGATTGAACATCAGATCAAACATCAAACAAAAAAAAGAAATGTGAGTGACGGTAGTTTGACGCTTTGACGCTGCAGGGTTTCTCTGCTCATGTGTGGTGTAGCCACTCCGTATTAGCATAACAAACATGGAGGGTTTTAGCTTAACTGTTAAGAAGCCGTGATGGAGCCACAGTTTTTTAAGGACACTTCATTCAGGCTTAAATGTGTTTGCATCATTGCAGAGAAAGCTTTTCATTTTCCATGTCGGCATAACAAACTCATGTGCACAATGAATCATTTCAGTGACATTTCTCACAGATTTTCACCATCGTTGTCTCAGTCAGTATGAGTGGAATAAGTTTGCACACAAAGAGCCACCAGTAAATCTAAAACACATACATCTCATATCTCTGAACATCTTTCTGCTTTCAGACGTGTGTAACGTGAATCAGCAGAACAAAGCGGGTTACACGCCCATCATGCTGGCGGCTCTCGCGGCTGTGGAGAGTCCAGAGGACATGAGAGTAGTGGAGCAGCTCTTCACTAAAGGAGACGTCAATGCAAAGGCCAGCCAGGTCAGTCAGTCTGCTCTCCGGTGCAGCTGGTGGGTGTTGATGTTCTGCTGCTCCCTCTGAACTGTGTTCATGTGTTGCTGCGGACACTAAAATAAACTGCCTACAGTGAATGTTTGTAATACTGTAAATGGATTTTTAGTATCCCTTAATTTGGAGGTCAGATGTGAAGTTTAAATGTCAGGTTGTGTTTCTATCGATAACAGGCAGAGGGTGTATCACATTAACAACCTGCATGTCCAAAAAGGATAATTCCCAAACCATTTAGTACATTTTCTATTAACGTAAAGTAGCCTGAAATCTTTGGGTGTCTCATGATTCGATTCAATTTCAATTCTTATGGTCACGATTCAGAATCTATTTTCGATTCAAAATTATCCTGAATTAATGGATCCATGGATTCAAAGTCTTTGAATGAGCACATACTTCAGGATCTCCTCCAGTTATCTGTGAGACTGGCTGAATTTCTTGCTGCTCCATTTGGCATTCCACTGAATTAAAGAGTTAGCGTTAGCACTTAGCATTGAGTGACCGATTAGCTCCCCCCCAAAGAAATAGATTTTTGGAAGTTATAAAAAAATTAAAATCTCAGAAGGTAAGAATCTCGATTTGTACACAAATAAAAAAATTTCCCACCTCCAGTGTGAAGTTTAGTTTTTTTAAACCAGTTGTGCTCCAGCTCTCAGATTTGTGTGGTTATCTTTATTTGCTGTTTTTTTTTTAGATGTATACGTTTAGCATCATCCCTCTATTTGACCCGTGTCCTCTTTCTGTCCAGGCGGGTCAGACGGCTCTGATGCTGGCTGTGAGTCACGGCAGGATGGACATGGTGCAGGCGCTGCTGGCACAGGGGGCGGAGGTAAACCTGCAGGACGACGAGGGCTCCACGGCGCTGATGTGTGCCAGCGAGCACGGCCACGCTGAGATCGTCAGACTCCTGCTGGCACAGCCCGACTGTGATGCCACGCTGACTGACAGTGTATGTGAGTCATTGTGTAGAGTGTGTCAGACGGATTGTTTGAAGCTGTGAAGCACTCGAAACTTTGTCTCACTTATTGTTATTCAAACCTAGAGAAGTTAATCTTCTGTTGATGAATAACCTTTTGCACAGTGAACAGCAGAACCTCACATAATGTTTATGAGTTTGTGTGTTTACAGGATGAAAGCACAGCGCTGTCCATCGCTCTGGAGGCGGGACATCATGACATCGCAGTGCTCCTTTATGCACATGCTAACTTCTGCAAAGGACAGACAGGGGTATGTGACTCAAGTTGTGTGCAGTGTTTCCCATATAATGACAAACAGGTCACATAATGTGTGAACTTGTGGCAGAGGCAAGGGGAAGTGGTTGTCTCGTTCTCGTACATTTCCATTTAAAATAAAGGTGAGCCAATGTGAGATCTCAGCAGATTATTTCCCTAAGAGTGAGCGGGCGTGGTCATGACGTTTAAATCACCATCTGGTGTCCGGTCTTTGTGCACGTTATGAAGCTGTCCTTACTCGTTTCTGCTCCCCAGTAGGCCATTCATTTCTTCTTGTGAATAAGTCAAATTTTCATATAGCATTTATATAAAGTGCCTTTTTGTGCATGGTGTCTTTTTGGCAATCAAGGTTGAAATCCTCATGTCACAGTCATTTTGTCTTCATATTTATAATTTATCAATATTTGAAATTGACTAGCTGTCCGCTTTGAGTGAGGAGGGGGGCTGTATCTGGTTGACCCTTGCTATAGAGGCTTGGTCCTTCATTAACTGGGTTCTCTTACAGGCGCACTCACCCTCGCCCCAGTTGCCCACTTCTCGTAATACAACACATGAGTGGCTAGTCATGAAGCGTGCTTAGTTTAAAAGACAGGATGACTAAAACAAAATAAAAAAGGGACGAGCAGTCGAGTCAGCATCCGCACATCGTAGAACAACGCAGAGAACATGACGGCTACTTTACTGACTCTGTGGCTTATTTTGAGTCATGTTAGGCAGATACAGACAGAACACTCCGGGATGTCTCCATAATGAAGGCTGTCCACGTTTTGTACCCGTGCATGTGCTCATGCATGAACTGTACTGAGCCGACGCACACCTCTTCCAAGCGTGCCAGGGCCGAGGATGTGTACTGATCGGAGATTTTCACTCTAGTCAAACAAACTGGACTTTAAGGGTGAAGTGTGCTTGGTCTCGGTATTGATTGGCTAGTGTGAGTGCGTCTTCAGGTTGCTCTCCTTGAAATGAGACTCAGCTACATGTAGCGAGTGCTGCAGGTAGTTTATCGTTCTAAAATGACTAACTTGTACAGATTTTTTTTAATGCATTAACAGTTGGCAAACATTTAGTTTTAGTTGAGTTTATTTGCACATTTTTTGAAAGAAGAGTCAAACAGAAAATTAAAACTAATACAAAATAAAACACATGTGCAGGTGAGGTAGAAATTCATGAGGGCTTATCTCAAAACCTCACCTTAAGAGATTAAACAAAGTTAAAATAAAATACAGTAAAAATAACAAAGTAAGAATATTTACTATGACAAATAAAATGTACCCAATTGAAAATTTCATACAAACTAGAGAAAATACTCAGGTATAGTCTGCATGTTGGAAACACTCATGTGGTTACTTTTTATATTCACTGTTTTGTGTGTGTGTCTCGACAGGCAGCTGCTCGTCACAGGTCTCTGTCCTCGTCTAGTGGGAGAAATAACTCTGAATGAGCTGAAGACCCACAGCCTGAACGTTTGCTTCAAGGCTTTTACTCATGAGGTGACTCAATAGCAAAGCCTGAAAACGACAGGAAGAATTTTAAAGGAACACATTTCAAAGATTTTGTAATTCAGACAGCAGGCATTTAAGAGGAGCTTTAGCACAACATTACATAAAGTGTGCATGTCATACTGTGTTCATTTTCTGTATCCAGCAGTAACATATGCACAATCGCTTCTTATCATTTTTATAATATTTATAAATCAATATTAATAACTGCAAAAAAATGAAGAAAATACAGAACAGTCTACATCACAGTAGAGTCACACGCAGAGATAATCAGTAGGTAACTATGATGTCATTAAAAGCTATTAATAGAAGGTAAATAAGATTTTTTTAAGGATGTTTTTATTTTAAGTTTATAGTTTTGTCATATCAACACCTTCCTTACTAAACGAGTTTTGATGCATGGTATATATTTCAAACTTCTTTTTTTTTTCATTTGTAGTGATCTCAAATTTTTCTAAGATGAATGAAAAGTGTTTTTGATGACGCAACATAAAGGACGATTTCAACCTTTGGCGAAACACGTCTCTTCTTTCTTTGCTGGTTAAAGGAGAAAACTGAAAACATTCAAGTTTATATTTTAAAGGAGCGATATGTAACTCTGACCCCTAGTGGTTAAAATGGCTACTGCAGTCCAAGTTCAAAACATTGCAGAGAGCTGTCTCTCTTTGAGTCATCTCTCAACACTCTGCTCTTTGTCAACGTCAAAAACCACTCTGTGTCCTCGCTCTTGACATTTTCCATCTTGCCCTTGATTTTTGAAAATTAGACGATTTGAGATGCAAAAGATGTAGAATTTAAAAAATCTTTTCAGAATACATAAAAAAAAGCAACTGGCTTGTTTTTACTTTGCTCTGTGACCAGAGCCTGGATTTTGATCAAAGCAGGTTTTGCTTGCAGACACAGCTGAATTCAGTGTTTGAATAAGTCATGAATCATTATCAAACATTCAGGATGACGTGCACACTGGTTGAGTTTAGGGTGTGCTGATGAATATTTCCAAAGATCACACTAAAGAACACAGTATGTGGGTAGATTATTGGCATCAAAATCTGGGATTAGAAATCAATTCTGCATTAGCTTTGCAGCTAAGAGACTCTCACTGATTTATTTTAAATCAGTGCAACATGCTTTAAATTAGCCATGTGAAATGTGAGTAGCAGGTGAGTTGCGATAACGATGTTTAACATTGCAATAAAAGATATGGGTTGTGATAAATATTTACTATCATTCACAGCTTTTCGGTCTATCTTCCATTTTTTCATGTTTCACACGACGCCTGGCTCTCTTTGTCTCCGGCTTCTTTCCAGACGTTTCACATTTTACCTATAGTCAAATGTTTTTCAAAGTGCTGCCTCTCTGTAGGAATAGAAAGCTTTTATATACAGAAACACACAGAATGATCTATAAAAGACGTTGTCATTCTTCACAGCGGCCTGCCGTCGCCGCCACATCCCTCCTCCCCTTGCTGTGTGTGTGTGTGTGTGTGTGTGTGTGTGTGTGTGTGTGTGTGTGTGTGTGTGTGTGTGTGTCCCATCACTGAGAGCGCACTCTGACTCATTTCCCAGCAACAGCAGTAAAATACAATGATACACAAGGTCCGCCGTCAATTTTTTTTTTTTTTTGCTGTTGCCATGGTAACAGCCGGCGATTATTTTTTTTCTTATTTATAAGGGGAACAAAATACTGGAATGATCTCTCTCATTTTTCATCGGGGTAAGCTGATCCAGCCCACTTCAGAATGTCAGAAAACTTCAGTGCTCCTCTTTACTTATTATTGTGTAACGGGAGAGACTTCAAAGTCAATACAATGAGGGGCTGTGTGTATTTTTTTAATTTAATATGGGTTTGTGAAGGAATTCAGTCTTATGTGGATGCAATATGGAAGAAATTAAAAAACTGTGCACATAATTCCCAAATCCAATAAAACGTGCTGCTTGTTTATGACATATAGCAATAAATATGTACTATGCTGGATCATGCTTTCAAGCCCTGTAGGTGGTCATCAATCAGTAAATCGTTACGCTAATTCATAACGAGTGTAATCTCGAGACGCTTTACAAAAGGGCATATGGGATAATATGCAGGAAGGACTTCTGAATCCTTGCATGAGGACGGCGGCGGTTTAAAGGAAACTGTGACATCTAATAGAGGTTATTCAATAATGTAGGATTAAAGGACATCATGCATGTTTTCCTACAACAAGAGGTATTGAACTGTTTCCCGTCAGTGGATTGGATTGTAGCTTTTTCTTTGTTCAGTGTGTTTCATTCCCCCCCAGAAAACAAAATCTGAAGGTCAGGGGTTAAGAGACTTACAAAACACAGCACTGGTTATAAAATGGTAGCAGACCTTCTCAACCAGAAGGTCAGGGTGTTCGATCCCACAGCTCCTGCAGCTACATGTCCGATGTGTGCTTGGGGAAGACACTTAATGGCTCCTGCTGCTTTGTCTGCGGAGTATGCCTGGGATTAGTTGATGGTCACTTTACTCGGCAGCCTCTACCATCAGTGTGTCAATGTGTAGGCGTGACCTGCAGTTTAAAAGCACTTTGAGAAGTCAGAAGACTAGAAAATAAAAAAACAAGCTCAAGTCCAAACCACCTGAGCAGGGGAAACCTTAACTTCCCCATGAAGCCTCTCAGGCCAGCTGATCGTCATCAGCCATCAGCTGAGGGAGAACATCACAGGTAGAGCCAATATCTCCTAATGAGCAGGGAAACCTGTCACCTCGTTCCCTGGGAATCCATCCATAACAAGTGTGTTATTAAATGACATCATAGCGTACTACAAAGACATTACCAACACGATGTAGGGAGGGTAGGGTTTGGTTTATGATTATTGGGGAAGTATAGAAACCTTAAAATGAGCTCAAACTGCAGCTCCAAGCTTCATCATTCAGATTGAATATGTTTGGTTCTTTACTTTGTGTCCATGTCTGGTGATCAACACCCAACATCCACAAGGAAATGTAGACCAAGACTTTTTTATTTCTGTTTTTCGGGGGCTTTTTGTGCCTTTAATGGAGAGACAGGACAGTGGATAGAGTCAGAAATCAGGGAGAGAGAGAGAGTGGGAAAGGAGCCACAGGCGGTACTCGAACCTGGGCCGCCCGGTTGGAGGACCACAGCCTCCATACACGGGAAAGCGCACTTAACACTTTCGCCACCAGCGCTCCCGATTTCTGTTTTTAAAGAGTCATTTTTTTCTTTCTATATTTGACCTGATTAAACTTCAGAGGGTTTCCTTGGTTTGAGTGTTTTCTCACATTTTTCTGAAGGTCATCAACACTTCCTCCATCTGCTGACAGTCTGAGTCCTCCTTTGACACTTAGCTCTTTGTTGTCCTCTACGACAGACCTGGTTCCCGCACTGCTCTTTACTGTTAATCCTTTTGTTCATCTTGTCCCCACTTTTTGATAGGATACGATGCAAAAAGGCAAAATGGATGAACTGGTTCCACTGAATTCCCATTTTACCCACACCAGAGTCCTGTAGCACACAAACTAGGAAATGTGTCGTCATGATGAGTTTTCACATAATGTGAAGAACATGCAACAGGATATTATAGTCCTGTTGTGTCTCTGTTTGCTTGTAACCTTCATTTCCTGTGCTGTGTGAGTTTCGACATTGTGTGATGTTTTCCAGCAGTGTTTTGCACATGTTTGGAGGGGTGGTGTGGGGGGTTGGGGGGTGGTAACAAACTGATTCCCAGAAAACAGATGTGTTCGAGTATCGGCCCAAAATAACACGAGAAAATTAGGTCCATCACCCTGCTGGAATTTAGAGCCTTCAAACAAAAGCAGAGCGTTAAGAATATCTGATACTATGAAGAAGTAGTCCAAAAGCTTCCAGCCAATCATCCACCATGTTTTGCTTTTCCTTAAGTTTTGTTGACTGTGAGAGATTTGTGAGAGTTACAGTTTTGGGATTTGGGACTTTGGGATGTTTGTGAATAAAATCTGTTAGTGTGTGTGTTGAGCTGTTTTTGTTGTTGCTCCACTCACAATGGGAGTTTTGCAATTGGCCCTATTTGTCGTCACATGTGGAGTGTCAAACATTTTCAACATCAATGTTGGTTTTCAAAGACAAAACGCATCGCCACGCTTCGCAGAGCAACAAGAGGGAGTGCTGTTAGATGGGGCCCCCTTAGGGAGGTATCCTACTGTCATTGCAAAATTTGCACATTTTTAAGTCGAATGCTGTGGTTTAAAGTTTGTCAGCCCTTTGGGGCCCCCTACTGGCCCCGGGGGCCCCACAGTTGCCTGTCTTGCCTATTGCCAAACAACGCCTCTGGTCTTTGATGCTATTAAGATTTTATTGTTCATGATATTCACATCGAGATGGCGCTGAGGACGATCGCCCCGGTGTGTTGGTGCGCGTTGTTTTGTCTGTTTTTGTGCGTTTTATGTAAATTCTATTTTATATATTGTAATATCTTCTTATTCTGTATTATATAAGTTGTTGTTAGTTCTGCTTTATTTCCTTGTTAATTGTTTAGCACCAATACACCAAGTCAAATTCCTTGTATGTGTATGTACTTGGCAATAAACCCAGATTCTGATTCTGATTCTGATATTATTATATTCTACTAATGTCAACACTGGCTCTTTTTGCAGCAGAGCACAACTTTCAGAAGTGTTTTGACATTAAGTTATTTAAATTTTAGACTTTAGATTTTATCGTCCCCATGGGGAAATTCTTTTTTACAAACTTGTTTTTATCCAATAGACAATTCCCATCGAGGAACAGTACATACATAAAACCAGAATGTGTAAAACAAACAGTGTCAAACAGCAATCAAATCATAATAATATTAAAGTTTTGAAATTACAAGATGTTTACTGATGTTTGTATTGATGTTTTGAATACAATATTTATGTGAAATTTGGAAATTAAACAAAAAAAAAAAAAATGTTTTAGTATCGTATTTGATGAACGCTGGATGGAGGGGCCCGGGGGCGCTGCTTGTCAACAGGCAAGGCAGGCAACTGCTCGGGGCCCCGGACCAGTAGGCGTCCCCGGAGTGCTCGCAAACTTAAACCAAAGCAGCGGCCTAAAAGGTGCAATTTTTGCAACGACAGGAAACCTCCCTAAGAGGGCACCACCTGACCTGACAACACTCACTCTCGCTGCCCTGCTGAGCGTTGAATGCATGACTGTTGTGAAAAGTTAAAACCAAAGTTTGACAATGAAAATAAAAGTACAGGAAACATGAGGATGAGGGTTAAGCAGCGGGACACTGGCAGGCATGAGGGCCCCCTAATTGATATTTGCCAAGGGCCCCAACAGATTCTATAATCGCTACTGGGCCTGCCGTGAATTTTTGCCCAACAACAAACTAAGTGACACCAGACACAGGCTTCAGAAAACGTGAATTTTGTCTCCGAAAAAATATGTGAAAATAAGAAGTTATGATAAGTATAATCTAGATAGGAAGATTGTATTTTTTATGTGTGTAATATATGAAAATGTAAATATAGGCTATTTAATATACAGTCTACAGTGCACACACAGCCTTCATGCCCCCCTTAAATGTTGCAGATGCCAACCTCTACTAGTGTAAACATGCAAGTGATTAACTTGTTTGTCAGACTTCAGTGTGTGGTGGGAGGAAAGAAAAACTTTGGCAGCACAGCATGTTGCGTTCACTGTTTCTGGTTTCTACATTTAAACACACAAAACACGAACCATGCTGATTGTACAGTCAAAACATAAAGATCCAGTAAGTGAACGGGGTTTGATACTGGATATGTACTGGGGAATAAGTCGCTTTCTTTAAGCTTTCGGAAGGATTTGATGACGTGTGTGAGGGAAAAATGACCCCGCTCGCTCCCCTCACATGCCCACACACTGTATGTATGACCCAGACATGACTGTGTTTGCTGCAGGCAGGCTGGACTCATGTTTCTACCATCGCTGCATTGGTTGACATTAAAAAAAAAAAAAAAATGGTACGTCCCCCTTTTCTGAAATGCAACATCAGAAAAAAAAAAAAAAAATCAAAAATGGACCCGATAACTTTAACAGCGGGGTAGGAAGAGAGAGAAAAAAGCAAGTCTGGCAGCGGTCGATATTAAAAACATGCAGAGGGAGACAAGCTCGGGGCCTTCCAGAGTCAGGAAAAAGACTTCGGAGAGCTGCGGACAGGAGATGGGTATGGCATTTCTATTCTCCCTCTGCCCATTGATTTGTATATGAAAACATAGCGCTTTTTATTCTCCCCCCTTCTGGGCTCTCCGCTTCTGAGTGATCAGCTGATGAAGAGACTAGCAGCTCGCCGCTATGCTGGCTTGCTAATTCTCTCCCCCACAGCTGCAGCCGATCCTGATAACCAGCCTGCAGATTGCACTCAGGTAAATATCCTCCTCCATGTCCTCTTTTTTTTTTTTCAGGATTCAGCCAGGGCTACATCGCATGGGAAAGAGAGGAAGAGATGGATAAAATGTGTGTGTGTGTGTGTGTGTGTGTGTGTGTGTGCGCGCTCTGGGAAGAGAGTGTCTGTGAGTTTATATGTGTGTGTGTGTGTGTGAGCAGAGAGAGAGGGGGGGGGGGAGAGGAAGAGGGAGTGTGTAGGTGTGTGTTGTAACAGATGAGAGGGAATCTTTGCCAGATTAGTCAGGGGGGGAAGAGGCAGGCTTGTTAAGGAGAGAAAAAAGGAACAGGCATGGAGCATCACATGCACACGCTGACAGCAGCCTCCCCTCTCTCTCACACACATTCATGCACAGACAGTTCGGACAAGCCTCACAGCTGCGGTTTTTTTGGGTTTTTTTACATCTTTGAGGATTACCCTCTATATATCCCTCCAGTTATTCCTCTGGAGCCATTTGCAGCCCCCCCTTTAGAGAGAGAGAGAGTGCAGCGGGGCTTTCAAAGCTCACATTTTGAGCCGAGTGATGAAGAGCAGCATTCCTATTGTTGCCTCCTCTCTGTTAAATAATCTGCCATGTCTTTTGGTTTTGCAGCTACAGCAATGCCTTCTATTTGTCTGTGTGTGTGTGTGTGTGTGTGTGTGTTTGTGTGTGTGTTTGTGTGTGTGTGTGTGTGTGTGTGTGTGAGTGTCACAGTCACCTTCATTCTTATTTGCATTATTATTGTTTTTCAGTTATGTTGAGGCACGTTCCCTTCACAAATGTGTGCAAAACATTACATTTTTTCTGCATGCATTCATCTCTGTCCTTGAGAAACACGTTTTCTTTTTTGTTCTACAAGCGCATGCTCAATTTATTAGATGATTTGAATGCTGCTGTGTGTGTACTGTATGAGCCTGTGTGATTGATGCATCAATATTCTGCTCGGATTGGACAGCCTGCCTTTTTCTGTTTCCTCCCTCCCTCCCTCCTCTCTCCAGACGGGGATGCTGCTGCTGCTGCTAGAGCTGCTCTTGCTGCATGCATACTCATGTTTCTGGCCTCTAATTGCCTTTGTGGAGAACACAGCGGTTTGCAGCAAGACAACAGTTAGAAAAATGAAGCAATGAAATGGTCGAAAAATAACGCAGGATGCATCAAAGCGCGGATGTCGAGCAATCAGATGCGTCAGATTATTGTTTCTGTCTCGTTTTTTTCTTTTTTGTGAGGAGCCAGTGAAATACAGGGTTAATATTTAATGCATTATTAGCGTTATAAGACGTGGCTTCTCCTCTTATATTCACATCTCAATCTGATCCTTTGATTATCATCCAACATCTAAGCCTCCAGATCAAATAATCTGTCCTATTTTGCAGAGGCAGCACAGGCAGTGGGGGTCGCTCCGTTCATGCAAATTATGATGATGATATCATGACCCGTCTTTTATTTGAATCATACTTCTAAATTCTGAATGCTCCAGAAATTCTAAATACCGCTACTGAGTGGCTTTATTAGAGGGTTTTAGACGTGAAGCGTGCTGTCTGGAGTGCTTTAGGTTTCAGTCTTTGCAGGAAAATGAATGTTAAAATTCAGCATGAAGCCGTTTTTAAGCCTCCAAAGTGACAAAAGAAGTTTAAACTAAATGCTCAAATGAAGGAGAAAAGATCAAATCTGTAACAATTTGTCTTTCAACACATTTCTCAGCTCTTATGATCCTTGCCTTGAAATTTTGATTTATTACCTGAACAACAAAAACAGAGAGTAGGCGAGCTTTATGTTCACACTACTTACTCGACCTCTCATTTCCTCAGTTCCTCAGTTCCTCACACTTTTTTGTTTTTGCTTGTCGCCTACCTGCAGCCCGAGTCCCGAGAGAACGGTTCCCTGGAGGAGATGGAAGAGGACATCGGTCTGAAAAAGCGTAAAAGCGATCAGCCCGGGGAGAAAGAGCTGCGGGGCACGCAGGAGACGGGTGAAAAGGTGAAGAGGAAGCGAGGACGCCCGCCGGCTGAGAAGCTGCCTCCAAATCCACCTGAGCTCACCAGAACGCTGAGCACGCTGGTCGATATGGTCATCAACTACAAGGACGGGTAAGGGGCTCAATCACTTGTTCTCTGTGCTCATGCAACAACAGGAAGTGCAAATGTTTCCTCTCACTGTTCCTCCTGTACTCTGATAATCTGGTTCACGCAGCGCTGCAGGAGCTGTCAATCAAAAAAAGGAACAGACATGAATCCTCGACTCTAAAAGACAGATTGTGTGTTTTGATCTTCATGGCCGCTCTTGGGCTTTCCATGAATGTCAAATCATTTTTTTCTGAAGCAGTGTTAACATGATGCTGAGTGATCCACCTGACCTGTGTTTCCAGCGTGGGTCGACAGATCAGTAAGGGCTTTGTGCAGCTTCCCTCCAAGAAGGAGGTACCCGAGTACTACGAGCTGATCCGGAAACCTGTGGACTTCAGGAGGATCAGGGTAACATGTCGCTGAACACACACTCACACACTCACACACTCACACACTCACACACTCACACACTCACAAACTCACACACTCACACACTCACACTCACAAACTCACACACACACACACTCACACACCACACACACTCACACACTCACACACTCACACACTCACACACTCACACACACACACTCACACACTCACACACTCACACACTCACACACACTCACACACTCACACACTCACACACTCACAAACTCACACACACACTCACACACTCACACACTCACACACTCACAAACTCACAAACTCACACACTCACACACACACACACTCACACACACACACACACTCACAAACTCACAAACTCACACACTCACACACTCACACACTCACACACTCACACACACTCACAAACTCACACACTCACACACTCACACACTCACACACACACACTCACACACTCACACACTCACACACTCACACACACTCACACACTCACACACTCACACACTCACAAACTCACACACACACTCACACACTCACACACTCACACACTCACACACTCACACACTCACACACTCACACACTCACACACTCACAAACTCACAAACTCACACACTCACACACTCACACACTCACACACTCACACTCACACACTCACACACTCACACACTCACACACACTCACAAACTCACACACTCACACACTCACACACACTCACACACTCACACACACTCACACACTCACACACACTCACAAACTCACACACTCACACACACTCACACACTCACACACTCACACACTCACACATTCACTCACACTCACACTCACACTCACACACACTCACACACTCACACACTCACACACTCACACACTCACACACACTCACACACTCACACACTCACACACTCACACACTCACACACTCACACACTCAAACTCACACACTCACACACTCACACACACTCACACACTCACACACTCACACACTCACACACTCACACACTCAAACTCACACACTCACACACTCACACACTCACAAACTCACACACTCACACACTCACACACTCACACACTCACACACTCAAACTCACACACTCACACACTCTCACACACTCACACACTCACACACTCACACTCACAAACTCACACACTCACACACTCACACACTCACACACTCACACACTCACAAACTCACAAACTCACAAACTCACACACTCACAAACTCACACACTCACACTCACACACTCACACACTCACAAACTCACACACTCACACACTCACACTCACACACTCACACACTCACACACTCACACACTCACACACTCACACACTCACACACTCACACACTCACACACTCACACACTCACACACTCACACACTCACACACTCACAAACTCACACACTCACACTCACACACTCACACACTCACAAACTCACAAACTCACACACTCACACACTCACACACTCACACACTCACACACTCACAAACTCACACACTCACACACTCACACACTCACACACTCACACTCACACACTCACACACTCACACACTCACACACTCACACTCACACACTCACACACTCACACACTCACACACTCACACTCACACACTCACACACTCACACTCACACACTCACACACTCACACACTCACACACTCACACACTGTATCAGCCGCTGGTTGTGATGCTTGTCAGGGGGCGTCCCCGGGTCCCTGGGCCCCTCCCCCACTGCCTCAGATAACCCTGAGATCCCTATAACCTCTCCTAAATGACACAAATGACCTTTTTGAATGCTTTAAATTGTTACTATTTTCACTTGTTAGAATTCCTTTAAAATAATTGGATGTATTTTACAGTTCTTTTAAAATGGATTTTATATCTTAGTGATTTTTATTCCTTAATCTTGCCTTGTTTATTATTCTATGACCTGCCTGTTTTTTTTATATTTGCTGTCCTTGTAAAGCACTTTGTAACTTGTTTTTAAAAAGTGCTCTATAAATAAAGATTATTATTATTATTATTGTTATTTATTATAAATTAAGGTCGACGAAATGCTTTTCCTGCCAGACGGTGGCTGTAGTACACCTGAGTGGGTTTTGCTCTCCATCATTAAATAACAAAAGAACAACTGTAACACTGTAGAGATGCTAAGAAGCTAAACGTAGCATCTCTTAACTAAAGGAATAATCTGTCTTACTTCACCCTTTGTGAGTAAAAAGCGATTAAACTTTCCTCAAAATGTTGAACTCTCTTTGAGACAGAAGACTCTGTAATCATGTCTAGGTCATCTACTTTTTATTTTTCCTTTTCTTTCATTACTCGCCGTGGTCACACTTTGAGGTTTTTCATACTAACCCTGTGCTTCACAGGAACGTGTTCGCAATCACAAGTACAGAAGTGTGGGCGATCTGGAGAAGGATATTTTCCTCCTTTGTCACAACGCGCAGACCTACAACCTGGAGGGATCTCAGGTGAACCCTGACGAGTTCTTTCATTGGACGGCAACAAAAGTGCTTTTCAGTTTTCATTCTGTTTGAATTTTATTTGATGTATTTGGACTCAAAGCTTGTGTGTGTGTGTGTGTGTGTGTGTGTGTGTGTGTGTGTGTGTGTGTGTGTGTGTGTGTGTGTGTGTGTGTGTGTGTGTGTGTGTGTGTGTGTGTGTGTGTGTGTGTGTGTGTGTGTGTGTGTGTCGTCTGCAGATCTATGAGGATTCAATCGTCATTAAGTCTGTGTTTGAGAGCGCGAGGCAGAGAATCGTCACCGACGAGGGACAGAAAGGAAATGTCACGGCGGTCACAGCGATAACGGCGCCGGAGCTGAAGACCAATTTCTTTCGTCAGCAGGTGAGTTTTGAAACAGAAACATTGGGGATTACATTTAAGCACAACAAAATGAGGACAAACAATTACTGTTAAAACAATAAATTGGCATCTCAATTTAAACCTTTAATGTGACGAATTCAATTATACAGATGATTATAGAGTTTATTTCCGGTTATACCTATACTGCTTTATTTCATGAATATCCTCAAACTGTTACAGCTTTTATTTGGTTAGAAAGCTTTAATGGCATTGTTTTATCCATCTTAATTGTTTATCTCTTTTTATTGCCTTTTATTTATCCTGATTGTTTTCACCACATTTGTATTGCTTACTTTCTTTTATCTCTTTTCATTGCTGTTTCACTGCCTCTCTGATGATTTTTTTTGTTAAAGGTCAGATATTATGTTGAATACACTTCACCAAGTTTTTTAGAACTCTAATATATGTCTCTAGTCCGTCTTCAAACCCCCCAATGATGAGAAAAGTCTGCCTGCTCCACTTTTCAGAAAATGTGTGCAGAAAATTGTTTTTGCTTCTTTTGCTTGTTTTCAGGCACTTTGTAAACCCTTGTTTTTTTTAAGTTTCTCATACCTAAAATCATTAATTTTTAAATAAATATTAATGTTACAATTGATCCTTTTTTTCCTCTTGAAACCAGTGAAACCATTACCACCAGTCCAGCAGAAGAAGGACGATCAGGAGGAGAGTAGCAGAAACGTCACAGAGAAAAGGCCCAGCGTCATTTAGACAGCGACGACGATCTAGAGGATAAAACCACTAAAGATGAAGGTTGAACTGAGAGGCTTTCTGTGTTTTTGTTTTTGTTTTTGTACTCCGGTTCATATCTGTTCTCTTCCTCTTCCATTTCAACAGCTCCGTCATTTTCTAAGATAAAGAAGGGTCATTGAAAAAGAAAATACACAAAACCCCTCAAAGAAAGGTCCAAAATGGATCCATTTTATAGATGACTCACGCCACTCCAACATGTCTTGCTGCATATTGTGGACTTTTTACCTGCCTTAGTCCCTGTGGTCGCTTCTGCAAATATTCTGTCAAATCCCTGGTTTCACTCACTGACTGTTTTTAATCCATACATTTGATTGTATAAAATGCCTTCATTCGTCTGGAGCATGTATATTTCTCTTGGAGCTGATGATGACGTTGATGAGTCAGGGGCTGGAGATTTGAAGCACACAAGAAAGTCTTTTTTTTTTGAAGAAAATAACAAGAAATGAAGACTAAAAAAAAATCTGTAGTTTCATTTAAGAGATGATACGTCTTGATAAAAGTTGAAGTACGCAGTCAAAGACTTGTTTTAGTACCAACAGCAGTACTTTTGCCTGTTTTTGATACTTGATGGAGTAAGTTTGGGTCTGATTAAGGGTACTCCAGTTGAACATTTTTATCCCTTGTGCTACAGTATATTCACATATTGTACAGTTTGTGGAAAAGTAAGTAAAAAAAAGTCTTTCATTTACTCTCCTGGTTGTTGGAGGTTGGAAGACATCGTTGTTGAGACAATCCCTTGAAACATGTATTACTTAAACACCTGGAAATAAATTACCCAAAGGTTGCACTGCTTTGTTATTTTAAAAAAAATATTTATTGAAGTAGTAGCTGTTGTAGACGTATTTAAAGGTCACATATTTTGCAAAACACACTTTACCATGTTTCTCTAACACTAATATGTGTCTCTAGTCTGTGTACAAACCCCTCAATCGTGAGAAAAGTCCATCCTCTCCGTCATCTGCCTGGCATGCCTAGGGCATGTGTAAGAAACCTGAGCCACCTAAAAAGAGGGGTGCGTGGTCAGACACAGCTCATTTGCATTAAAGGTACAGACACAGAAACAGCCTGTTCTGAGCAGGGCTGAAATAGAGGGGTTTATAGGTATGATCAAATACAGTGAATATATAACAAGAAACTTCACAGACATTCATTCAAACTGGTTGAACAGGAGGATAATATGACCTTTAAAAGTCAGAAAATGTCATATCGATTTTGCAAGAATAGAGAAAGGCCCTCATCTGAGGATATATAGAGATATTTCCAGGCAGGTCTTTTTTTTTAATACGCAATCAATGGATCACATGCAGCAACTTAACCTTTTACTAAGCAGAGATACCATCAGAGTCTGTTATTCCCTTAAAGTGTGAGTACTGTATGTTCTATGTATTTTTGACAAAATGCCAATAGTGGTGCAAGAGGGCTGTTTGTGTTTTCTGTTTCTAGTTGCCAAAAAAGATGCCAAAGTACAAAGTCACTCCTAGTGACATAAATCTAACAAGATTCTTAAGATCAGTTTTTAAGAATTTCCCCTTAAAGTAAGACTAGATCCTTGTGAAGACAAAAGTTATTCACAAAGCATCTTCGCCTTTAAGAGTGCTCTTAAAGTGACAAACTGTCAGGAGAATTGAGGACTATAGAGAGGATGAAGAGTTTCTCAAGCTGAGGAAAAATTGAGTAATGTTCACTAAACACTGAATGAGTAATAATAGAATCATAGTTGGGCTGTTGAGATAAATCCATCTTGACTTTTTTCAATGCAAAGTGAACATGTATGTTGAGACCCTCTCAATATGTTTATAATATGCTGATGTCACTATCAGCTTAAGAAGAAACTACTTTAGCAAGTGGGAAACAATTGTAGCTATATCTTAACGAGACACAGTGAGCTAAATCAGACAGGAAGCTCAAGGCAGGAAAACATGAGGAGCAGATCTGAAAGACAGAAGCACGGATACAAATGAATACAGCAAATGACAATATACTAATATAAAAGGACAGAAACAAAAGATGACACTAGTAACTTGACGGTTTGTTAATAAGTACAACTATTCAGCTTACTGGAGGAGTAAAGATTCCCATTGCATAAGCCATAGCAGCAGCCTCCCTACCAACAATCCAGAGAACCTACGAGACAAATGAGCTCAGGTGCACCCAAGAAAATATGTGGTTAGTAACTTACTTACATAGTACATGACGATTTAAAGATAATACATGCAGTAATATGATGTAAGGAAGAGAGAGGAGAGAGAGAGATAGGAGCTCAAGTGCTAGTTCCACCGCAGTCTAAGCCTATAGCAGCTTAACTAGGAGCTGATCCATACCTGCGCCAGTCCTAACTATAAGATTTATCAGAAAGAATGTTAGAAGTCTATTCTTAAAAGTACAGTGTGTCTGCCTCCAGGGCCATGCTGGTAGATGATTCCAAAGGAGAGGGACTCTACCTGAATACATTTCAATCAGAGAGACTTAATTGAGAATGAACAATTATTTATTTACAATATGTGGCAACAATTTAATTTTGAATGTGCAAAGTCTTTGGGATAGACTCCATCGTGACGACTTCCCACTCGGAAGTAATGAAGCCGACAGCAGGCTCGAGACCCCCCTATGGAGTCTAGACACTGTGGTGAAGAGAATGGAGGCTATGATGAGCCTGAATCTGGACTCTGCTGAGCTGGAATGGAGGTGACTGGGCAGTGGTGGGTTGCACTTGCCCTGAAATGATAGGATGTGGAAGAGAGAAACGTTTAACATTTGCCGCAGCAGGATATTGTTGAGAGAGGTTGTGCCCGAATCTGTTTGGTTAATTACTTAATAAACGCCCATTATCAGCTATCACCAGAGAAGGAGACAGAGAAGTAGTAGGGATGGTTTAGGTTGAATTAATGAGTGGAAGAATATAACCAGTCTTCCTGTCTAACTTACGCTGAGCTCCATTAGAGACTGTAGGTACCACGAGCAGCCTGGTAACTGAAGCTCTACCTCCCACAGTACATTTAGAGACTGTAGGTACCACGAGCAGCCTATAACTGAAGCTCTACCTCCCACAGTACATTAGAGACTGTAAGTACCACAAGCAGCCTGGTAACTGAAGCTCTACCTCCCACAGTACATTTAGAGACTGTTGGTACCACGAGCAGGCCTGTAACGAAGGCTCTGCCTCCCATAACATTTAGAGACTGTAAGTACCACAGCAGCCTGATAACTGAAGCTCTACCTCCCATACTACATTTAGAGACCGTTGGTACCACGAACAGGCCTGATAACTGAAGGCTCTACCTCCCATAGTACATTTAGAGACTGTACCACGAGCAGGCCTGATAACTGAAGGCTCTACCTCCCATACTACATTTAGAGACTGTTGGTACCACGAGCAGCCTGATAACTGAAGGCTCTACCTCCCATAGTACATTTAGAGACTGTACCACGAGCAGCCTGATAACTGAAGCTCTACCTCCCATAGTACATTAGAGACTGTAAGTACCACGAACAGGCCTGATAACTGAAGGCTCTACCTCCCACAGTACATTTAGAGACTGTAAGTACCACGAACAGGCCTGCATTCTGTGGAAAACACAGCCAAATTTGCCCAAATATCCAATAAACAAGAGTCGCCCCCCTGAAATGATATGTAATTATTAATTGAACATTATGTCCCAAATCCCAAATCAATCTCCAGAAAGCCCCATGAGGATTTACCCAGCATGCCTCACTGTTCCACATTTATTATAAAGTGTCTATAAACCTTTTCAGTAAATCACATTTGACATCCCATATTCCCCCCTGTAGAATACGATAATGAATAAATAAATCAATTACCAGATAGGCTCCTAACATTTAATAAAAGTGTATCTGAGGTATAGGAAAAAAAGCTCTGCACAGGTGTGAGAGATAACAATGGGTTTAGTGGGAAGCTAAAAGGTATGGGCTTTTACAGTAAATAGCACGGAAACAAAGAGCACGCACGTCTTCTTGATGGAAATCTCCCATAAAATGACACATAGAGCTAATGGAAGAGCACAGACGATATTGCTGAAGGTAGACACACTAATGGCTTTTGAAGATTAGTGGGCGCAGGCGTACTTCATTCTATTCAGAAGACAATCCATTTTCTGTTTTCCCAAAGGACACAGACTTAATAGATATTAGTTTGCTCTGCATTTATCATGGCCATC